AATTGACTGTATAAAGTATACATAAAAGCGAGAGTATTCCAGTGGATGCGATCTACAACCTCTGAATTTGCCTAGTAACGATGAATTCGTCGAGAAAATGGTAATATTTTATGAGAAATAGTCTGTATGTCTCATTTTTTTTAATTCTTTTGCGTAAAACTAAAATTCATGCCAATATTTTTCCATGATTTATAATAATTGGAGTAATGCAAATGCATATTTTCTAAAAAAAGTCATTTTTAGTGAAATTTTGCCGGGAATGGGGCTTTAAGTACTTTTCTACTCTCGTGTGATAATATTTTTATCATTTTTCCACCCGAGTGGTCGCGAGTGGTCCCGTGTGGTACGGTATCTAGTAGGACCCGGACCGCTCATGAGGGGAATGGTGAAATCTATTGCCACGAGGTGATGTGGAGACCGTAGCCTATTTTCTCGAGGGCCGAGGGACCGAGATAGGTTACGGTCTCCACATCACAGAGGGACAATAGATTTCATTGTTCCCCAAATATAGAGCATTCAGTATTTGTATAGATTCTACGAGGCCTAAAAAAGTACTTACTTCCTAGCCTGTTATTAGTTAGAGGCCTACTACGGGAATCCCCTACTACTATATATTCGACTAGGCTAGCAAGGCCTTGGCGATCAAAGAGTGTCTAGCTCTTCTTTGCTTATTTCCTCAATTTCAACAGCACCCATCGTCTTGCAATATATTTTCGAATATTGATAAGACATTTAATTTGTCTTTTGGTGCTTTTGCTATTGGCTTCATCAAGAAGTAATGCTAGGCCTAGGCTAGTCCACCTTCATATCGAAAACGAGCAACCTCTATTTGTTTATTGTCTAAGGCAGTCGCCTTTACAGTCAGCGCAGCGCGATGTAGTGGGCCTAAAGTTTGCACATCGCGACAGGTCAAAAAAGTATTATTTTGGAGGGGGAATAGTACCTTTTGAGGGGAATAGTACTTTCTATTGCCCTGCTTCTTAACTAATCAGATGAATAGAATCTATGTATGAGGTATATAATTCAGTCCATTGAATAGGCCTATACCAATAGTTTTAGTGGGACGATGTTAGTAATACATACTCCAAGTATTGAAGTATGTTAGTAATACGGTATTGTAATTAGAGATTTAGGTATCAGAATGCAGCACAGGACTTGATGTGTGAATACCCAGAAATGGTTTATTTAGAATTAAAATAACAGCATATAGTCAGTGCAAATCCATTCTAAAGTATGTGGAATGAAACGATCTTACATTTACTATAGGCCTATCATTTCTTAATTTCTCAAAAAAAGTTGGGTTTTTTTTTTCATGCATGCATGCGAAATTTGTATATTACAGAGGACGCATGACGTGGGCACATGTATGCACTCTCAGAGTGCACTCAAGCTTTTAATTTTATGTATATTGACACTGAAAAAATGAAACAAGACACCTTAAATACTTCTATATGGTAGGTTTTTTTTAAAGACAAAAATCCAAATTAGGCAATATTCTGCTTAGTAAAAACAATTATTCAACCACATCAATTTAAAGATGTATCTAATAATTATAACGTTGAGCCTTCTTATTGTTTTTCATTTATTCAGTTTCAGGCACTGGGCCAAGGATATGCCGAACAGTAAAGTTAATTACTCTTCAAAGCGGCAATCCCATCACAAGATGGCAGAGGCTGTATAGACTAGTACACCGGGGTAACCCCCTGCTCATCACGAAAGATGTACTGGGTTCTTTAAAGTGCACATGAGCCAATTATGTACACTGGGCCTACGGGTTATAGTCCTTATCCGAGAAGACTTCCACCTCCAGAACTTTAGGTGCCCATGCCTTAACCGCTTGGCCATTCGACTTGCCAAATGGCCGAGCATGAGAATATCAGCAAAACTAGAAATGTAATTGGAGTTTATCATGAATTACAAGATAAGGCTTCTAAAATGAATTACAAGTAAAGGATTCTAAAAGTAAACTGAAAACAAGTCAAATGGATTCAGAATGATTGTAATAAAGTCACTCAAAATAAATTTCAAGCGAGGGACTAAAATTAAATTGACAACTCTAAACTAGCTTTTTTGCTTCAAAGAAACTCTTAAGGTGCCTCATCTGCCAAAATCCAGTAACCAGTAAAATGCCAGTCTGACCAAGGGACCACCAGAGTACTCGTTGGTTTGTGCTTTCACTTGTCTGACGAAATCTCTCTTCACGATACTGAAAATAAACAATTACATTATTAACAAATTTCGCCAATATTTTACTTAATACAGAGAACATCTGTTGGTAGTAAACAAAATTTGTCATCACAACCTCAGGTCAAGTATTCAGACAAATAAATAATTGGTTTGTTCTCTTCTTCACTGCTCATAAATCCTCAGAAACAGTGAAGGTGTTTATAAGGGGGGGGGGGGAACATTATTCTCAATATACATTTAATTTATTTTTACATGTCTTTTTTATGACAAATTGATTTTTTTTTTAGATTATGTAATTTGATTTGATTTTTTTAAAATTTTCTTAAATTTCTCCAGGTAACTGATTTTAGGGAAAAACATCACTGGTCATATTCAATCAAAAGTATTAATAATAATGCCATTAATGATAATGCCATACTAGCGCATAGAGAAGTTTGATATGCGCTATATAAGTATACAATAATAATAATAATAATAATACACATTATGCAATTGCTTTTTGAGCTTAGTTTCATCATTCATGGGTGAATGATTACAAGTCAATTTGATTGGATGGGAAGCTTCCACTAATTAGAAAGAGCGTCAAAACATATGGCCGAGATAGGAATTCATATTTTTGTGGACAAAGTACATAGTGCAAGGGCAGCTGCAACCTCGCACGCTTTTAGAGCGAGAGTAGCTATTCAACATATCCTAAATACAGTGCCAGATTTTAAAGATTGACAAAAATTAAAAAAATTGGGTGAGGGGAATTTCGGATACAACTCCCATGTAAAAAATATAAACAAAATAAATAAAATAAAAAATAAATAAAAATTAAATAAAAAACATAATAATAACAGTAACACTAACAGTAAACTAGTCACTGAGGACGAGTTTGGTGATCCGCCGCACTTTGACCCTCAGTAAGAGCGCGCGGTGCAGATTTAAAAGTTTTAAAATGCTCAAAATGGCCTAAAATATATACTCCAATTAGTTGGAGCTCCAAAAAAAAAAAAAAATTTTGGTCTGAACTAGGCCTTAGTTGTAAAAATAGTGTATTTTTGAACATTTTAAAAGATTTATGCATGCGTACGCGCAAGTCTTAAAGTCCATGCGCATGATAATGACACAAAAATTTGACTCCTGATATGAATACAGTGTCACAAACCCAAAATATGTTAAACAAAACGCAATTTTCTGCTTCAGTACATGCTGTGCGCGTGGAAATGGTCGTACGGCCCGTAAATTATGGAAAGTTTTGGAATGCTGAAAATGACCTGAAACGTGCTTTAAATTATCTTAAAAGTGTTATTGACAATTTTCAAATTTTAACGCACAAGTACGCGCACCTCACGCAGTGGCGGCTCTAGGATATATTTTCTGGGGGTGCTAAGTTGTCCAACAGGGGGACTTGAGCTTGTAGGCTCGAGCTGGGAGAAGGGGTTGAGAGGGGTCTCCCTCCCAACGCTGCAACATGTTTACTTTATTCAATTCGTTGATATATCGTAATTCCAAATTGATCATACGTGTGAATTTTGTTACGTTACTTAAGTTTCTTCTTTCCAATAAACAAATCTGTAACTGTACTTTCCTATAGTACAGAAATCCATCCACCAAAAATACTTGACCATTCAGGGCAGTTTCCAACTAGGACTGCCTCTAATTTGTTTTATAAGCAAGGCCTTCTACTGTACTTGTAAACTTTTTGAGTTTTTCCCCACTGTTGCGTGTCAATAAGTCGACACGTACAAAACTCATCTTCTCTCTCTATATAGGTTCATTTTTATTTCTGTTGAAGTCTGCGAGTGCCATTTCCGACCATCAAGAGGTACCATAATCATAAATTTTCTTTTTCTTAATCCTAACCATGGTGGAGCCGGCTGTCAGGTGGGTGGACCTTGGCTAGGCTATGTGTATGTCCAATTTGTAGGGATTTATTTTACTCTCACTTCGATTTATTTATTACGATTCTTAAAATTTTAACCATATTAATGACCGTTAACCCGTAGTATAATTAATGAAATTTCCACATTGTTTTTTTTAATTAGATTAATTTAATTTTTTATAGATCAGTTTCCTTTCATATCAAGGTTGATATTCATCGTTTAATAGGCCATCAACATTTTTGATAGACTAGCCTACAGAACATTTGAAAATAAGAACTCTAAATAGTGTTTACTCTCAAACCCCCAACATTTTCATCCACTTTCCACAAATTCACACCCACCCAATAAAAATCCTGCGTACGTGCCTTCAATTATGATTTTTGCACATATTGTAGCTACCATAGGACTCGTTTTTATTATCCTACATGTGTTTTTTTGGCAAAATTAAATAATTTTCTTGCTGATTTTCCCCAAATCTCATAACTGTTAAGACGTCATTGTGCCACGCACCCGATCTAATATGCAAGTCCCACATGCAAACATTCATAGACATATATATTCGGAGACAATACCACAACACCGCATTTAAACACGTCAGAGTTAACATGTTATTACTTAAAAGATAGATTTACTACAAGACTGCATTAATTTACACCTCAAACATAAATCCATCAGAATGTTTTTCAACGACAGGCAGCAGCTTAATATTTATCCGTGTCATCGGATCTACAAAATTTTGTCTGCTATTAAAATGAGCTCTTTTCATTGGTAAGTTTGATAGTCGTTGCTTGCCAGCCGTCTTCAGGTGAACTACTGTAAATATAGGACTTGATTTAGTCGTAGTTAGAACTTCGACTACATTGTTTATAAATACAAATTAAAGTTTAAGTTGCAACTAGGACTAATGAAGTTCTAGTTCGAAGTTTGACAAAAGTTTGTTTAAAGAATACGGGCGCAAATATCCGGAATAAAGAAAGATTTCTATCTATATATCTATTTAACAAACTTCTAGAGTACAGTACAATATCTTGGGTAAATATTTGCGATGCATGTCACTGGATACCACCACGACTATTCTCTATATAAAAAAAAAATCATACTTTTTTAAAAAAACCACCTATATCAATAATTTTCAAAATCATCTTCTTACCCTCTGATAATTTTGTTCTTTTTGAACTTGCTCAACTTGATCCAAGAGTTGACGTATTCTCAGTTGCAGTTCTGTCATCTTATCTTTTTCTTGTATTTGGTTGTAATCATTAGCATGTTCTCCAACTTCAATTTCAAGATGGATCCTCTGAAAATATATTACTGATTATTTTAATGAAGCTTATTCACCTGGATATAATTTTAAATGCACAGACAGAAAAAGTAAAACCTAGAACATACTGTATTTGATGTGCAAGCAAAACTTTCAATGAAGGTCGAGGTCAAGAAAGAGCCCCCATCACTTTTCCAGCTTAGATAGGGTAAAAACTAATAATTGTTTTTATAAGTCTAATTAATTGGCAGTTTGGAAGTGAGTGGTAAGTTACCGCTCACCTCCAACTGCCAATTAATTAACTTTTTGTTGCACATCAAATTTGTTGTGTGAGGTTACTGTACAGAATACTGGTAGAAACTGTATAGTGGCAAGATTGGCATTTACATCAGAGTACAGAGTAGAAAAATGGTGGATTACTGTGAATTCATTAGTAGATAGAGCCATGTTACTTTTATTTTGTATTTATTTTATGCAAGTATAAGAACACATGAAATATTTGCTATAAAAAAACCTTGCAGGCGTCAACGTTCCTATGCATGATACATGACTTAAAAAGTATATAGGCCTTATATATATATATATACGTGTATATATATATACGTATATATATACATATATATATACACGTATATATATACACGTATACATGTGTATATATATAAGTATATAAGCGCGTGTGTGCATATATACACGTGCGCATGTACATATATACGTGTATACATACGCGTGTGTTAATATATACGCATATATATTATACGTATATATATATGTATATATACGTATATATATATATGTCTATATATATACAGTAAGTATATATATATATATATATACGTATATATATATATACATATATATATATATATATATATATATTATGATGGAGTATTAATCTGTCTCTTATACACATCTGTATATATATGTGTATATATACGTATACATGTATATATACATGTATATATATATATACATATATATATATAAATAATATACATATAAATAAAATATATAAATATAAATAAATAAATAAACATACATACAATATATATATATACATATATATACGTAAATAATATATATACATATATATAAATGATATATATATATATTATATATATATATATCTTGGGTCAAATTTATGTGGAGGTTGAAAAATACATGGGAGTCTTTATGGCCCAAAATAGTGATTTTAGTAACGTAATTCGAAAGGCAAATTACAGTAATATTTTTAGCAAATTTCTTTGAAAAAATTTCGTAGGCATAGAGCCTAGGCCTAGCTAGGTATAATAATACAGTAATTTCATTTTACAGTAGTTTGGAACGATATCAGGAGTGGGGGTGGTGGCAGTGGCCTTCTAGGACTACAATTTATTTGAAGCTATCTTGGGTCCGGTCGTCCACACCAGTTGAGCCCAATCGTCTGTCACCCGAAGTTTTCATTACGATGATCAAGAACGTATACTACTGTAACTAGGCCCTGGCTTAGATCGCTGCCGTCACTCTGCTACGTATACTTCTACCGCATAAAAAAGAATGCGACCCACGCGGTGCATTCTTAAATTGTACACACATTATTAAAATGTATTAGACGATAACACGATATCACTGACTGAACGCGATATCACTGACTGAACGATCTACCACCCTCGCATCGCAGTAATTACTGTACTGTACTAGGCAAAAAAAAAAGTTAGATAGTCGTTATGTACCTGACAGTCGGCTGCCTTTATATCTCCACTTGGAGTTGTCTTCAATTTGTATTCAAAGGGTACATTGCTGCATAGCCAACTGTCAGGGATATGGTACCTTCATATGACTACTCCATAGAGATAATAATAAGAATACTAGAGCGCTAACCGCAATGTATTCGATGTTCGAAATACGCAAAACTGTGTGGGTATCATCCAAGATGGCTGCCATAGATTTAGCCAATCAAATTTCGCAAAGCACCATCATTTGCAATTGCGCCCTCAATTTACTCAGAGGGTTCAGTACAGCTAGCTACCCGTATGTTTGTTGCGGTGTTTGGGTGTAATGTACACGATTTTAATTTTCATTCCTTGGTACTTTATTTTTGAATAAGATGCTCCACTTGGTCTCGTTTTGGCTACAATAGTTTAATAATTTGTTATTACCTTTACTCATTATCAATAATGAAATAATAGTCAGTCAGAGGGCTTAATATGTAATAATATGTATAGCCTGAAGGTGGCGCTTTACTATGACGGCCATCTTGGATGGTACACATACATAACTCTGCATTGCTGTGCCAACACTCTAGTTGTTTAATAGCTCTACGGACTACTCATACAACAGAAAAAAAAACGTCGCATGGAGTTAGTGAAAAATGGAGATCTAAATGAAAAAACGATGTATTTCAGCAAATATAAAAACCTTTTTGTTTTATTTTAGGCCTTCTTAAAAATACCTATGTCACAGCAGTTGATTTTTTTCCCGTAAAACCAAAATAGTTTCATGCATCCCGTCTTGCCGATCGGTTAGCGTGAGCCCTGACTGAACTCTGCAGAAACTTCACATCGAACTTCGCATCGCGATGTAAAACAAAATGTCGGAAAACTTTTCTTTGACGCATGCGCATTTGCATAAATGTCTACACACATACGCACACACATACTACACACAATAAAAAACAAAAGAAATGTGACTACGAGTGATTACAGTAGTTCCTAATGCATAGGAACTAAAAATGCTGCAATATCTTTAACTTATGACTGGTTTGTATCTAAACTAATAATAAATTAATATCTCGAGAATGACCTATCATCTTCAATGCATTTGTTTTATGATATCACACATAAACATAAGAATAATAGCATACAGGTAGAATTGGTTTACGACTGGTGTAACAATAGCCATGTTATACATTGCAGGTCACAGGATTGAAATAATAAAACAAAGGATTGAAATAATAAAAACTAGATTTGAACTCGTCACTGAGGACGAGTTTGGTGATCCGCCGTACTTTGACCCTCACAAAGCATGCGCGGTGCTGATTGAAAATTATTATATGCTAAAAAATGCTCTATTTAGTATTTAAAAAGAGTAATTTTGAGCATTTTAATGACTTACGAAAGTGTACACATACGTCTTAACGTCCGTGCGCATGGTAATGATATGAATACAATGGCACAAACCCAAAACATGTAACCGAAACGTAATTTCCAGCTTCAGTACGTGCTGTGGGCGTGGAAATGAGCGTACGTCGCGTAAATTATGGAAAGTTTTGGAATACTAAAAATGACCTGAAACATGCTTTAAATTATCTGAAAAGTGATATTAACAATTTTAAAATTTTAACGCACAAGTACGAATACCTTATACGACGTGCCCGAGGACGGTATGGCACATGAATTTAAACCGTCAAGTTTAATTTAAAACCCCCTGTTGGTCGGTAATGCCACACAAATTTTCTCTTTACAGTATACGAACTATTGGTCGGTAGTGCCACACGAATTTTCTCTTTACAGTATACAAACTATCGGTCTGATAGCGTCGAAATAGTCTCTGCCGCCCCTGTCTCTTATACACATCTAGATGTGTATAAGAGACAGGTATTTGGTTGTAACTTGAGGTTTTTTCTATGTTTTGGTTCTATTTGTGGCCAGCCAATATCTTTAATTTGCCTTGGGGTTGTAACATGAGGATTCAGTCATAGTGACTTTCTTTTATACATCCAAATTTTACGTCTCTATCAACAAAATTGTAAGTTACAAGCGAATGAAAGACGATATTGGCGACAACTAAGATGTACTCAAAGAACGCAAACAGAGTATAAACTGAAAGAAATAAAAGATAAATCACATTAAAACTTTTTGTGTCTTTTTCCTAGTCACTGAATACCTAAATACACAATGTGCGAATTTATCACCTCATTCAGAATCAAGTAAAAAAAAGAACCCATAATTCCTGTGAATTGAGTGGCTGAGCCGCATTTAAGATTGCTATGAGAAAGAGGCAACTTACTAACCTATCGCAGCCACAATGTAACATACTCAAAGTTGGAAGACGATCGATCAAGAATATTCGAGATACTCTTAAATGTGTATTTTCAAAAATGACGTCATAGCTATAATTCACTTTCTTTGAATTCAGATGCCAATATGATGACGTCACAATGTCTGATCAGCCATTATGATCTGTAAAATCATATTTACAACTTATGTGCTTTCAGAATATGTAATAAAAATTGGGGGTCACCTTTCATCCTAAGGAGCTATAACTGATTAAAAATAGGCCTGACTTTAGCATATTTTCACTGTATATGGGCACAAATCCGCGCAAAGATACCTATATTTGATGCGCATGTACAGCATTGTTATTGGCAATAAGATGACCAAAAAGAATTGAAATTTGTGAAAACAATATCAGGAACCCAAACTATGTGAAAAACATAATGTCTAGCTTCCGTACGTGCTACGCGCATCTAAATGCGTGCGCGTATTATGAAAAATTTTCAAATGCTCAAAATGGCCTGAAACGTGCTCTAATTTAGTCAAAAAGGGATTTTGAGCATTTTGAAAATTTGACGCGCGCGTAATGAAGCGCACATGTAAAATTAAGGTACAGTACATTCAACATTAACCCAAAGTTAATGCTCACTTAATACGATTTCGAAATGTCAATTGGTTAGGCTGATATGACTGATAATGTAAAAACGCATGACTATTCTAGACCAAGCCAAATGTTCGTTGACAGCGATTGTGCGTAACTCGTGGCATTTTTTGAGATATCGTGCGAACAGAAAAGGGGAGAAAGAAAGAAGAATATAAGAAAAAAAGAAGAGACAGTACAATAACAAGAGGTGATCCGCTCCACCAATAAACTTACTAAACTGTACTCCACATTTAAATGTAGAAAGTGTAATATACAATTTGATGTTCACCTAGGCCTACCATATACTATATAGACTTTCTTTAGCTTATGTTATTACCATAACATTATTATTATTATTATTAATGATATTACTATTTATTTGTATTCAATTTAAAAAATATATATTTTATTACCCAGTC